GCGAGCCATTTCCGTCCGAGTAGACGGGGTTCTATCTCGGTCATTTGCTGTAAACGCCGGTGTTCCCCAAGGTTCAACGCCTTAGCTCACCCTTCTGTAATTTATCAACGATCTTTTGTCCAAAACCTCTAATCCCAACCACTGCCTTCCCCATGATTCCACTCTCCATTGTTCTCTTTCTTAGCCCACAACCCATCAGGCCACTACCAATCTCGATCACGATCGTAGTGCTTCTCTGGCCTCCGATCTCGGAATCACCTCCGCAAGGGGTTCTACCAACCACTTATATTTCAATGCTCCTAAAACTTTTATCCTTATCTCTTAAACGTATCAACTGCTCTCCTCAATAAACTCTTGAGGCTGCCTCTTCGTCCCACAAATTCCCTCCCATTGATTCTTGTTTGTTGGCCCACTTAGTAAACAAACATAGAAAAGCTGACGGAAACGCATGCCCACAAAACAATATCAGCAATGCTTGCAAATCGGTCTTCGAAGCGGAACCATTTGACCGTATCTTAACCATCAGCCGAGGGACCAGTCGACGATAATCAAGCATGCGATCTAAATGTCAATCAAAACGAGTGTTTTCTAGCGCACGATCAAAGCAAAAGCGATGGATCTCCCCGACCTCGGTTGCCCTTCCAGATGCTCGCAAAGCCATCCCGGCTGATGTAAAATACGAAAAAGCGCGCAAACCTATTGAACGCCAACCATCAAGAGTCTGAGGAATGACCACGAGAATGTGCAAGAAAGTGTGGAGAGATGGAAAAGAATGCGGCTATCGGTAGTAGTCGCAATCGTATTCGTTTAATTAGGAGTACGGTTACCAGGAAAGTAAGCCCAAGTGAGGCAATTAAGGAGCCTGATGAACACTGATTCGTCACCAGTAACGCCATCTTCAACGTTGGGCAGAACAGTTCAGCTGGCATCCGTTAACACAAGACTTCCTTATACATACTTCAACTGGGCAAATACTTCCAGGTGACATCAGTCCTCCAACTAAAATGAAGGTTACCGCATAAGGCTTCCGGCCCCGATGGGCTGTCCCCATCCGATTTTAAAGATGGAGGTTCAGCCTTGGTTTTGGACTAGCCCTTCCAACCTTTATTTTGCTTATTATACTAATGGGAGTTTAAAAGACAGCAACCAAAACCGGTGCACTAAAGTGCATTGTTAATAGCTGTAAAAACCCAAATTGAGACTAATCTGGATCACAACTATGCGACTGAAGTGAATACACGGGAACGTATAATAAAAGGACTAGGAAAACGCTCCAGATATTCTACTCATGCCCACGGATGTAGAACGAGCCTAAGCGCCCACTAAGAACGACACGCGAAACTTGCATCATTCAAAAGCACGACAGCTGATGGCACTAAAACCATCTGCCAACTAAGAGTTGTTAGTGGACACGCCCACATGGAAAAATAACTGTAAACCACAATACACGAGCTCGTGCAACAGCACGGGGTAAGCTCAAATGATGACTAACCAAACTCCACCTCCAGATCGGCCGTTGAACAATTATTATTATTATTATTATTAATCCAGAACACCTAAAGATCTATATTAATTGGCCACTGAGCTGCTGACGGCAACTGTTCTTCAGCGATGAGACATCCTCAACTGGCATGGAAGAGAGTGGGTCGATCAGTTTCTGCCAGTAGTGCGTCAGTAGATGAGCTGCATTCTACATGTCAATTTAGCTCGAAATGAAATCATTATTCATATTTAATGCATGCGCGCAGCGTTGGAACAGGAAGGTTAATTAGGCCCTCGATGGCGTGTATAAACAGCAAGACGACAAATGTTGGGACCGAGATTTGCCTTGGCTACTCGTGAGCCGAGAGTATTAAATAAGCTTGAGCAGACGTCTTAATGGACGTTCATAAGATGCATACGGGGTGGGCCGCGCGTGGCCTCGTTTTGCGCAGCTAAATACATCTGTGGGAATTGTTTCAACCCAGGCATAGCAAACTTAAACCTCCGAATAACAGCTCATATGCGATAAGCACAATATAGAACGGACCTAAGGAAACACCTCTGTAAAAACCTGATTAAAATTGCACTGAACGCACGAATCAAGGAAACAAGAACACACGTTTAAGAACAACCTGTGTAATATCGAGTGCGTTTACAATCAACGTTTGCGACGCATCGGGACCTGGTTGAGTCGTTTCCAGCACGCACGGCGCGAACCACCAATAGTCTTGTGGAACGGATGACCGTGGCCCAGACCGCGAGACTTCTTACTCGCAGAAGTCAGACCGCGCATTTCACGATGTTTTTGATGTGCCTTGCAGATCCATCGAATAGACGGGTCGCGTCTGATGGCCTTGTGGAATGGATCGATGCAGATCACTTCGTAGTACTTGAATGTACTGTCTTCACCAACCCAATACGAATTCAGCACACGGAGCGCACCGCATTTTCGACCGACACGTTCCTAGAAAAACATCTGAGAGAGAAAAGCGCACTTACCTCTGCAACGGCCTGAATCGAACGCTGATTTTTCAGTTGGTTAACACCCTCATTTGTGGGCTTACCATAGGTGGCACCCTTCGGAACCTGACGTTTGCGGCCACCCCGACGAATTCGAATGCGGTAGATTACATAGCCTTGTTTTGCCTTGTAGCCCAATCGCCTTGCACGATCAGGACGAGTGGGACGACTGGCACGGATAATGGCGTGGGTCTGACGGTATTCCCAACACCTCATACGACGGATGAATTGCATTACATCTGACTGCTTGTGACGATATAATTCTTGCATGAACTTATAAGCACCCATCTTCGCTGTGATAAATCCAACGGAAAAACAGGACCCCAGAAGCACAAACGTGCGCACACTTTGTAAACCGCCAACTGTCGAGGTTCGTTTAAACAAATTCACAGCCGCTGAAGCTAGTAGCCTAATCCAGGTTTTATTTTATCCGTTACTATTTCCAGATATATATGGTGCATTTTAGCTCAAGTATCTAATTGCCTCTCGTTGTTGATCGAAATCTTGATGTTCAGCGCCGTGCAACGCACCCAGAAGCCAGGACAAGGGAATACTAAAAAAGCTCGCCAGTGAGACGATACACAGCGATCTCACCTCGGCAAAAGTCCAAGAACTATCCAACCTGCCGGCAAATCCCAAGTTTATGAGACCCAGAGGAACAAGCTCCCAAGACAATGGCGCTCGCTTGTATCTCTCAGTGCATCTCCTGCTCGCGGGAGTATCTGAACTTTGTCTTCTCAAAGCAGAGGTGATTGTAGCAGCATCGGACAATATATCCACTGGTCCTGACTCCACATTGTCAAAGACTCCCGCCCCAGAGGTTACCCAAAACCTTCCTCGATTGCTGGTCAAAATCAACCGTCGGCGTACAGAAACCGAAATGTGAGAAGCGGACTAAACCCAGCGCGGTCAGCACACTAGCCTCACCTAACCCTAACTGAGGGCTCCTCGGGGATCCCCTCCCTCGCAACAGGCGCGTTTGAACATAATGCAAAAGCGGCAGTAGACCGATAAAGGACCAACGCCCCACCCATTGATTGGTCGTTCCTGCGCTGTGTCCTCACAGCCCGATAACTGCAACAACGTTGCACTTTTCGGACGCCAGAGAGGCTCATAAAGAAAGCCCCTGTGATGGTGAAATACCTTCTCAAGATAACCCTTCGATCAACGTACACTCATCTCGTACATCTACCACCACTAATATCCCTTCCAGCCGCTCACCCGTTCCCGCCTTGCTCCCCACAAGACCTAAGAATGTTGATGGATGCATACTTAAATGCATTTCTAGCAACTGTCTTAGCATCCCAAACAAAGTTCTAGAATTGAAGCAACTTATCTTGGAGCAACATCCCCATGTAATCCCCATTACTGAGACCTGGCTCAATGACAATGTTCCAGACGGGGAAATCTCCATTCCCGGTTTGACACTGATAAGATCAGACTCAGCCCGGGGCAGAGCAGATGGTTTCATAGCTTATTTTAGTTGTGCTCTCCCTCCTCCCTTTCTTATTTCGGTCGACCCAATGCACCCTACAGATACTTTGTGGGTTAAACTCAAACTCTCAAGGTTAGTCACACTCCTACTTGGAGTCGTGTACCGTCCTCCGCAGAGCTCCCCCATCGCAAGCCAACTACTCATTGACCAAATAAGGTCAATAAGCGGCACCCATCCTTTCATCCACCTTCTAAGTATTAGTGACTTCAATGCCCCGGGTCTTGATTGGCTCATAGCATATTCTTCTAACCTTTATTTCGGTAGTCCTCTTATCGATCTAGTATTAGAAAACTCCTGGACTCAACAGGTAGATCAACCAACGAGGTTCCGTCCGGGTCAGGCTCCTTCATTGCTAAATCTGACAATAACGAAAGAAGATAATCAGATCGACGTGGTTAATCACCTTCCATCTCTCGGAAAGAGTGACCACGCAGTCCTGCTGTTTGACTAGATTACAGAGTGAAAATCCAAAATAGAGTGCCTACAAACGGTCAGATCATTCAGGCGTACCAACTTCAGTTCCTTGAGAGAGTTTCTTAGGGTACAGCTTAACTGCCTTCCCCTGGACCTGTCCGTAGACAATCTCGCGGAACATATCGAACTAATTGTCACTTCAGCTGACTAGCGGTTCGTCCCTCGTGTTCTCGCCCGCCCTAGCTCTAAACCACCTCCTCCTCGTCCCACCCTCAGGCTTTTAGATGAGCGGTCTAGACTGTTTGCCAGATACAAGCAAACGGGATTCGAAGCTAATGGACTAGCCTTTAAAATGCTCAGGAACACCTGCCGCTCAAATATTAGAGAATACAAACTGCGCATTCAAAGAGCTATACTTGAACGGGCTTAAAAGAACAGACCGTTCCTCTAAAGGTACATCCGTCGACTGCGTGTAACATCTCACCTCTCTCTTGCCCTCAAGTTACCAGATGGGACAGAAGAA